AAGTTCATATTCATTGTTTTTCACACTGAATCTTTCCCATTTCCTTTACCCACCCCACCCTCCACCCATCAAATTGTGTGACCTTATGATTATGTCCTCCACCCATCTTCACCCTTGTGCTCTCCCTCTTTTCCGCTTAGATCCTCATACATGTTTTACTAGTTATCTATTTTTACACTAATGGTCTTATACAGTATTTGTCCTTATGGACTGAGTTAGTTTACTTAGCATAATGTTCTCCAGTCCCTCCCAAGTTAAGGAAGTGCTTTACAAAAATCATTGCTTGTAATTCAGGGTTTTTCTTGATATCAGTATTGTTTCTGCTTTTTGTTTATTTTGGTTATTGAAGTTTTTTTATCTTCTTGAATTGTTTGGTCTTCTTGTTCTCTGGCTTCATAGGAGGTTTTTTTATGGTTTGACTTTAGTAAACCTTTAAATATCTGGACTTTTTAAAAAGAGTATTATTGCTGTTGTTAGGTGTTGTTCTGTCAGTTCATAGTGACCTTATGTAGAACAGAACAAAATGCAGCCTGATCTTGCCATTGTTGCAGCTGTTCTGTCGGTCCATAGACAAAAGTAGTGTAGTACATAGCTTATGGCTTATTATGATTGGGGATTTTCTACTTATTTTGCTGACTTTACCAAGCATGATGTCCTTCTGCAGGGACTGGTCCATCCTGATAACATATCCAAAGAAAATCATAGTCTCAGCATCATAAAGAGCATTCTAACTGTGCTACTTCAAAGACAGATTTCTTCATTCTTCGTCTATCGTATATTCGGTTTGCTTTGCCAACACCACAGTTAATAGAGCTAAATTTTTGTTTGGTCTTCCTTATTCATTGTCTAGCTTTTGCATGCATATCAAGCAATTGAAAATACCATGCTTTTATCATGCACACCTTTGTCCTCAAAGTGACATTTTGCCTTTTAATACTTTAAAGAAGTCTTTTTATGCAGCACATTTTCCCAGTGCAATGTGTCATTTGATTTATTAACTGCTGTTTTCATTGGAGTTAGTTGTGGATCCAAAGAAATATACATTGTTGGCAACTTTTTTCCTTATTATTAATAATTTTGCTTATCAAGAAAAAGTATGCTTCAGGATTGTATCTTTCTATCATACTTAATTTATATGTAGAGCAAATACCCAAGAAGCTGGACTGTATGAAGAAGAAAGTCGTTATAAGGACCAGAGGAAAACTAATTAACAGCCTGAAATATGCAGATGACACAAGCTTAACTGCTGAAAGTGAAGAGGATTTAGAGCATTTACAGAGAAAGATCAAAGATTATAGCCTTGAGTATAGATTGTATTGCAACAGAAAGGAAACAAATATTTTCACAATTGGACCAAAAATCAGCATTATGATAAATGGAGTAAAGATTGATGTTTTCAAGGATTTAATTTTTAAGCGTACCTTTTTTGGTGAAGCTCCCCAACTAAACGAAGTTTGGAAGCAGGAGTGGTATCCACTTCCACAATAGCTTGTCCCAGGAAACCCTATGAACCTGGAGAAAGTTATACAGAAGGTGTCCAGGACTTTCATAGGGTCACTATGAGTTGCCTACGACTCGACGGCACTTAACAACACCTTGTTATTAATATAACTTTTTTTTTAGGTCTGTTAGTACAGGGAAATTATCAGATCAACAAATAAAGACATCCTTAGGTGGACAACTGCATCAGGATAATACGGAAAGTTTAAATACAGAGCGACCAATGGATATAGGTAAGAAAAATAGTTTCTTTCTAAGCAGTTGATTTGTTAGCATATACATTAATTTCTTATTCCTGTTTTAACAAGTTACTAAGAGTTTTGTGACTTACAGCATATATTATCTTTCTGGATTAGATTTCTCAAGATCAGAATCTAAATAAATGTCATTGGACTAAAATCTAATTGTTCACCAGGACTACATTTCAGTTAGAGGTTCCATGCGGAGAATCCTTTTCCTAGCATTTTCCAGTTTCTTGAGGCTGCCTTTTTTCTTTGCCTCATGTGCCTCTTCCATCTTAAAAGCCAGCAAGAGCCAGTGTGGTCTCTGACCTGCCTCTAGTCTACATTACTGCCAGAGGAACAACAGTAATGTGGGGATGGCCAAGTTCAACCTCTACTAACTTCACAAAGGGAAAGTGTTATCAACAACATTCACAGTATAGAACAGATCCCTATAAGGTTAGACATGGCCTCCCACCATCCTGCACCTACTTTTACTGATTAGTGGGTCTGAGGTTCGCTACAAATTGACTCACAGCCTTTACTTACACTTGTGGGGTTAATTAGGGAAATGGGTGGTGAGGGTGGGCGGGGAAGACAAAGAATATCGCACAGTTGAAAGTCCAGGATTAATCCAGCAGTCCCAAGCCAGCTTTAAAAAACAAAATTCTTCGCATTAGTTCAGGCAGCTTTTTAGTCAACAAATGAAGGGCCAAGTTCACTCCAGCAACACAAATAAAGAAGGCTTTGCTTTCCTTAATGATCCAGCAAGCTTTGTCTCCTGGCATTCACAAGTGAGATTTTCTTTCAGCCATCCAACAAACAGAACCTTTAACTTGGGATCCATCTCCTGGACTCCATCAGGCTAAACGTTGCTATAGTTTCTCTGTAGTCTGGCAAGAGCTCCCTCTTATGTTGGCCCACAAGCTGTTGATGATGTTGTTGTTTTATGCCGTCAAGTCACTTGTGACTTACACGACCTATGTACAGCAGCTCTGAATCCTGCTCTATCCTGATCCAGCCTTATTATCTCTGCTATACCTACCCTTATTATCCCAGTCACGGAGTCAATTCATCTCATCCAGGCTCTTCCTCTCTTGTGCTGTTCCTCTACCCTCCCCAAAATAATGTCCCTCACCAAGGACTGCTCCCTCCTTGCAACAAAAGTATGTTAGATAGAGCTATAGAATCTTTGCCTCCAAGGAGCAGCCTGATTCACCCTCTCCAGGATGAACCTATTTGTTGTTCTCTTAGCAGTCCAGGGTATATTCAGTACTCTTCTCCAGCACCATAGCTGATGTAGAAAACCCTAATCATGGTGAGCCACATGTCTGAAGTTGAAGCAGCTGGAGATCATATCCCTCCCCCAGAACCCAGGGGACTAAAGCAATGACTAGAAAAACCATTTTTACAAATCCTAATACCACAATTATGCTAGACCTGACTCTCTGCTTTCGTAAACGTTATAGCCAAAAAACTCTTACTAAACAGTTTTTACTAGTTACCACATGGGGTCATCACAAGTTGAGATCAAATTGACAGTCAAAAGTTTTTGTCATTACTCTTTTAATACCACTGTCATACATTTATGCACCAATAGCCAGGTTCAAAGAGGAAGAAATAATGATTTCTACCAACTTTTTCAGTCAGAAATCAATCAAACATGCAACCAAGATACATTAATAATAATGGGTGACTGGAATGCAAAAGTTGGGAACCAAGAAGAAAGATCAGTAGTCAGAAAACATGGACTTGGTAACAGAATTGAGGCTGGGGATAGAAAGATAAAATTCTGCACAATCAATGATATATTCATAGCAAATATCTTTTATAAGAAACAAACACAGGCTCTACACATGGGTTTCACGTGATGGTATGCACAGGAGCCAGATCTTGATTACAGCTGTGGAAGGAATCATTGGAGAAGTTCAATATAAGCAGTGAGGACTAGGCCAAATGTTTTTTGTGAAACAGACCATCAACTATTTACATGCAAGTAAGTTGAAATTAACCCTTTAGTGCTTGCTATGTATGAGTGAATCCCTATGTTGTAATAAATTACTGAATTGTAATGCAAGTAAGTTGAAATTAAAGCTTTAAGGTCAAATAAAATCCACAGGAATAAAATTTGACCTTGTGTCTGTCCCACCTGAATTTAAACACCAATTCAGGAACAAGTTTGAAGCCTTGAACATTAATGAATGAAGACCAGATGAGCTTGGGAGGATATAAAGATTATCTTCCCTGAAGAATACATAAGATCATTACAAAGACAGAAAAGAAGACCAGATGGATGTCAAAAGAGACTCTGAATATATCATTAGAGTGCCAAGAAGCCAAAGCAAAAGAAAGAAATCAAGTTAAGGAGCTGAGCAGAAGATTTCAAAGGGCAGCACAGGAAGACAAAGCAAAGTAGTATAATAAAATGTGCAAAGAACTGGCCTTCAGGAAATCAGAAGGGCCGGACTTACTCATCATTTCTTTTTTTTTCCCCTATTGTTTTTTCATTAATTTTAATGAAAGTTTACAGAGACTTTAGATTTCCATTCATTCATTGTTATACTTTTCTCCCTGCCCCCTCTTCCCCCCAATTTGCTCTTCTCTTTGAAAAGTAAAATTCTTTCATTCTTATACAATCCCTCCCCCCAAGTCCACTCCACTATGCAGCCTTGATTCTGGACTCCTGTCATGACAGTAATATCTAATCATATATCCCTTTTAAACACTTTTCTCCCTCATCTGTTTCAATGCATAATTTATCACATCTTTCTCAGTTTCCCCCCTCAACCGCGATGTCAGTCCCGTTTTACAACATTGGCACTATGCAATATTTGTCCTTTTGTGACTGAATATTTCACTCAAGATAATGTCCTCCAGGGTTACCCATTTTGTAAAGTATTTCATGAGTTCCTTGTTTTTCAATGTATCGTAGTATTCCATTGTGTGAATATACCAGAGTTGCTCTATCCATTCATTTGTTGATGGGCACTTGGGTTGTTTTCAACTCTTTGCTATTGTGAACAAAGCAACAATAAACATGTGAGTGCATGTATCTGCTGGGTGGCGGTTATGGTTTCATTAGGGTAATATTCCCAGTAGTGGAATTGCTGGGTCAAATGATATTTCTGTTTGAAACTTTTTGAGAAAGCGCCATACTGCCTTCCATAGTGGTTGCACCATTTTATACTCCCACAAACAGTGAATAAGGGTTCCACTTTCTCCACAACCTTGCCAGCATTTGATGTTTGCTCTTCTGTTAAATTTTGCTTCTTAGTGGGATGAGATGATATAGATGTTTTGATTTGCATCTCTCTTAGAGCTAGGGATTTTGAACATTTCTTCATGCTGTTTGTTTGCCATCTGAATGTCTTCTTTCGTGAAGTGTCTGTTCATATCCTGTGCCAATTTTTCAGTTGGGTTAATTATCTTTTTTTTGTTGTGGTGCTCGAATATTTTATAAATTCTAGATATAAGTCCTTTATCTGACCTGTTGTTACCAAATATTTTTTCCCAGTCTGTGGCTTCCTTTTTTTACCCTGTTGAAGAAGTTTTTGGATGTGCATAGGGATTTGATTCTTAGAAGGTCCCTTCTTCTATTTTATCCTCTCCTGGTTGTAGATTTTTTTCAGGATGCTTGGAAGACTGTTTATGTTGTGGATTAGGACTTCTAGAGTTCTTCCAAGCTTTTATTGAATGAAGTTTATTTATAGTCCTTGGTTTTAGTCCTAGGTCTATGATCCACTTTTAGTTGGTTTTTGTGTATGGAGTGAGGTGTGGATCTTTCTTGAGTTTTCTACAGATAGTTTTACAATTTTGTCAGCACAATTTGTTAAAAGGACTGTCATTTCCCCACTTAACTGATTTATCTCTCTGTCAAAAATCAGTTGATCATAGGTGGATGGGCTGATTTCTACATTCTCAATTCCATTCCATTGATCTGTGTCTGTCATTGTACCAGTACCACGCTGTCTAGATGACCATGGCAGTGTAGTAGGATTTGAAATCAGGGAGTGAGACGCCTCATACCTTGTTTCTCTTTTTAAGGAGTGCTTTGCTTATTTGAGGCCTCTTTCCATTCCAAATGAAATTGGAGATTGCCTTTTCCATCTCGTTGAAGAATGGAATTGGTATTTGTATTGGGATTGCATTGAACGAGTAAATTACCTTTGCTAGTATTGTCATTTTCACAATATTGAATCTTCCTATCCATGAGCAAGGGATTTTTTTCCACTTCTCCAGGTCTCTTTTTGTTTCTTATAGTAATGTTTTGTAATTTTCTTTGAATAGATCCTTCGTGTTTCTGGTTGGAGTATTTAATCTTGTGATTAGCTGTTGTGAAGGGTATTGTTTTTCTTAACTCCAGTTCTGTATTCTCTTTGTCACTGTAGAGAAATACAATTGATTTTTGAATGTTGATCTTGTAACCTGCCACTTTCCTTAATTGGTCAATTATGTCCAGTAGTTTTCTTGCTGAGTCTTTAGGGCTTTCTAAGTATACTGTCATCTCATCTTCATAGAGAAACAGTTTTACCTCCTCTTTGCCAATTTGGATACATCTTATTTCCTTCTCTGGCCTTATTGCTAAAACTTCCAATACCATATTGAATAGGAGAGGTGATAATAGGCATCCTTGCCTACTTCCTGTTCTCAAGGGTAATGCCTTTAATCTTCTCTCCATTGAGAAAAATGTTGGCTTTTGGGATTGCATATATACTTTTTACTATGTTGAAGAAATTTCCCTCCAATCCTATTTTGTTGAGTGTTTTACTCAGGAAAGGGTGTTGGATTTTGTCAAAGGCCTTTCTGCATCAATTGATCAGAAGATCATGTGGTTCTTGTTCTTTGCTTTGTTAATGTGATGAATTACATTGATTGTTTTTCTTATGCTGAACCATTCTTGCATACCTGTTATGAATCCCACTTGGTCATAGTGAATTATTTTTTTTATGTATCATTGGATTCTGTTGGCCAGTATTTTATTCAGGATTTTTGCATCTATGTTCATGAGAGATATTGACCTATAGTTTTCTATTTTCGTGGTATCTTTACCTGGCTTTGGTATGAAGGATATGTTTGCTTCATAGAATGAATCTGGGAGAATTCTATCTTTTTCTATTTTCTGAAATAAGTTTATGTAGAATTGGTGACAGTTCTTCTCTGAATGTTTGATAAAATTCATTTGTAAAACCATCTGGTCCAGGGCTTTTTTTGGCTGGAAGTTGTATTACCTTTGTAATGGGTCTCTTCAGGTGATCAATTTTGTTTGGTGTTAGTCTAGGTAGATTGTGAATTTCTAAGTATTTGTTCATTTCCTCTAGGTTTTCATATTTGTTTGAGTATAATTTTTCCATAATATTCCATTGTTAGTCTTTTTATTTTACTTTTCCTTTCTTAGTTGTATTAATGGTTTGTTGATTTTATTGACCTTTTCAAAGAACCAACTCCTAATTTTGTTGATGGTTTTAATTGTTTTTCTGTTTTCTATTTCATTTATTTCAGCCTGGCCCTAATTTTTATAGTTTCAGGTTTTTAGAGGGTATCGGGTGTTCTTGCTTTTCTTTTTCAATTTGTTGGAGATATTGAGGTAGAGAGTCAATGGTCATTTTTTCCTGTCTTTTGATGTGTTTGCTATTGCTATGTTTCCCAGAGGTTTTGGTAAGTTGTGTTTTCATTGTCATTTGTTTCAAGAAACCTTTTTATTTCTTCTTGTACCCACTCTTGTTCAAGCATGTTCAACTTCCAATGTATTGTGTTTTTCTCCTTTATCCTTTTATTGTTAATTTCCAATTTTGTAGCATTGTGATCTGAGAAGATGTTCTGTATTATTTCTGGTTTTTAATTCATTGATTCTTGCCTTGTGGCCCAAGATGTTATCCATTCTGGAGAATGTTCCATGCACATTGGAGAAGGTATTCTGTGCTTTTTGTGGGGTGCATTAGCCATCAGTTTCTATGAGATTGAGTTGGTTTATTGTGTGGTTTAATTCTTCAGCATCTTTGTTGAGTTTCTTTCTGGTAGTTCTATCTTTTCTTGAGAAGGGTGTATTCAAGTCTCCAAGTACTATAGTATTGTCTGTTTCCTTTTTCTGTTTTGTTAATGTGTGCTTTAATCTATTTTGCAGGTCTTTTATTTGGTGCATAGATATTTATTATTGTTATATCCTCTTGTTTTGTTGACCCTTTAAGCATTATGTAGTGACCTTCCTTGTCCTTTGTAATGGTTTTTGCATTGGAATTTATTTTATCACAAATCAATATTGCTACTCCTGCTTTTTTCTGGTTGCCATTTACTTGTGGTTTTTTTTTTCCTCCCATCCTTTTATTTTTAGTCTTTCTTTATCTTCCCTCTTCAGGTGTGTCTCTTGTAGACAGCATATTGATGGATTTGGGGGTTTTTTTATCCAGTCTGCTACTCTTTTTTCCTTCAGTGGTGCATTTAAACAATTCACATTCAGTGTGATTATTGAGAGGCACGGTTTTATTGCTTTCATTGTGTTGAATTATTTTTGGTGTTGTTGCTAGTTACTTTGGTCCATGCTGCTTTCTCTGACACCTCTGTAATAAGGACATCTCCCAGTGTTTCTTTCATTGCTGGTCTTGTTTTTACCAACTGCCTTAGGTTTTGTTTTTCTGGGAATATCTTGATCTCTCCTGCATATTTGATGGACAGTTTCGCTGGGTAGTATATTCTTGGTTGACAGTTGGGTTCTTTGGATGTTAGATATATGTTTTTCCACTGTCTTTTTGCTTGCATGGTTTCTGCTTAGTAACAGACTTAGTCTTATCTGCTCTCTCTTATAGGTTACTCTTTGTTTCTCATTTGCTGCTTTCAGAATTCTCTCCTTATCTTTGGTTCTGCCAAATTTGACTATGATATATCTTGGTATTTTTCTTTTGGGGTCTATTCTATATGGTGTCCACTCAGCTTCTTGAATATATATTCTCTCATTCTTCATTATTCCTGGGAACTTTTCCTCTAGTAATTCTTCCACAACTTTTTTGGTGCCTTTCCTTGCTTCTTTCCCTTCTGGGATTCCAGTGATGAGCATGTTATTTTTCTTGATGGTTTCCCACATTATTCTTACGTTTTCTTATTTTCCCTTCTTTTTTGAGTCTGCTTTTTGCTTTAGCAGATCAGTGGTGACAATTCTATCATCTATTTTACTGGTTTTGTATTCCATCTCTTCAACTCTGCTCATGTGTCTCTCCATCATGTTGACAGCATCTGAAACATTGGACCTCATATTTTGGATCATGATTTCTTATTTTTGCAGAGCCTCTAATGCCTCATTTGTTTTATCTGCATTGTTTTGGATTGTTTTTTTAAGCCCTTCCTTTTTTTGCTTGCATTGTCCTATAATTCTTCAAGCTTGTCTTTCCCCCATTGAAAATATTCAGTCCTTGTTCTTTTAAATTCTTTGTCAGAAAGTTCCATCAGACTTTCTGGCTTCAGAAAATCCATTGGTGTTTTATCACCTTTTAGAGGTGACATCTTGCTTTGCGCTTGTTTAGCTTGTGAGGTGGTCTGTTTCTTTCATGATGTTGCTGTGGTAAGGCTTTTCTTGCCTGAGGTGGTGATATCTTCTTGATCTGAAATCACTGCTACAGATGAGGGCATAGCAATTACATTTCCTGTGTTCCTCTCTGAATTTCTGAACCAAGGCAAGTGTCCATTCACAGCCTGTGAAAGTGGCCTCTTCTGTTGGATAATTGTTACAGCTAAGTCAGATCAAGATGCTCCGGATTAAAGCCAGTTAGTTGACTGGATGTGAGGAGATGCGAGGCTAAGGGGTAGGCACAAGCACAAGTGTATGCTGGGTGGTGAGAGGGAGAGGGAAATAGGCAGAGCAGGCACAAACAGAATCGTATGCTGTGTATGTCTCGCACCAGGTGAGGCTAGCGGTCCAGGTCGGCAGGTGGGAAGACCTCACTCAGTTTGCACCTGTCCCACTCGCGCCTGGTGCGGGAGGGGTTGTTTGCTGCCTGCGTGTGGATGCGCAGGGACTATACTCAGGTTACAGATGTCCTGCTGGTGCCCAGCAGGGCTAGCTTTCAGATGGGTACTTGTCAGGACCCTACTCAGTCTGCCCCTGTCTATCTCATGCCCGGTTGAGCTACTTGCCTGGGTAGGGATGCGCGGGTATCACACAAGGAACTCACTCAGTTTGTAGATGTCCTTTTCTTGCTCGGTGAGGCTACCTGGCCCTGTGGGGGCTCACAGGGACCTCACTCAGGCTTCAGCTGTACAGCTCGCACGCGGCAAGGCTGGCTTCTGGGTAGTCATGCATATACCTCAGTCGGGTTGCAGATGTCCTGCAGGGGCCATGACAGGGTGGCGTGCAGGGTTGCGGGTGTTCTCGTTGGTCAGTCAGTTTTCTTGTTCTTACTGTGCTAAGAATTTCAGAATAATCTTCAACACAAGTAGTTAGAGTAGGCATCTAGTTTAATCTTTCTCCACTGAGCAAAATATTCATTATTGGTTTTTCATAAATGCTGTGTAACTTCTCTTTATTTTGTTAAGAATTTTTATAAAGGGTGCTAGTTTCAACAGATACCTTTTCTGCGTCAATTGAGTTTATCATGAGATTGTCTTTGTTCTGTCAATGTGGTATCATTGACTGTTTTCTAATGTTGAACCATCTTTACATTCCTGATATAAATTATGTCTAACATTGAGAAGAATGAGAATTCCAAAACACTTCATTGTGCTTATACAGAATCTATACCTAGAGCAAGAAGTTGTTTGAATGGAGCAAGGGAACTCTGCATAGTTTAAAATCAGAAATGGTGTGTATCAGGGTTATATCGTTTCTCCATACCTATTCAGTCTGTATGCTAAGCATGTAATTTGTGAAGAATTTTATGAGGAGGAATGCGGCATTAGGCTTGGAGAAAGACTCATCAACATCCTGCAATATGCTGATAACACAACCTTGCTTGCTGAAAGTGCAGATTGTAGGAAATGCTTGTTGCAGAAGATCGAGGTTTATAACTTCTGGTGAGAAGTACGTCTTAACATCTGGTCCCTAACAACGTACCTCACTATAGAACCAACGGTCTACATGATAAATGGAGATAATATTGAAGCTGTCAATATTTTCATCTTTCTTGTACCAACAATTAATACCCTTGATACCAGCAGTCAGGACGTGTATTACATTTGAAAAGTCTGCTGTCAGGGGCCTCTCCAAAATACTGAAAAGCAGTGATGTGAGATTGAAGACCAGGTCTTCTTAGTCAGTTGTTATACATCAGGCCAAGTCTCCTCAGTCAGTTGTTATGCAAAAGGCCAGGTCTTCTCAGTCAGTTGTTATGCATCAGGGAGCTGAAGAGGAATGACAGAAGAATTATTCATTGATGTCTTTGAGTTGTGGTGTTGGAGAAAGGTAGCAACTACCCCATGAACTGCCAAAAGAATAAACAGAAGTGTCTTGGAAAAAGGAACCGGAGTACCCTTTGGAGGCAAAAATGGTGAAGCTTCATCTTTCATACTTTGAACATGTGGCCAGCGAGACTATTCCTTTGAAAGGGACATCATGCTTAGAAAGATGGAGGGTCAGCAAAGGAGAAGACCCCCTAATGAATTGCATTGACAGGGTGACTTCAGCAATAGTTTCAAGTATGTCAGAGATGTTGAGATATAGGACAGGGTTCAGCAATTTACAGTTTCGGAAACCCACTGGAGGGCCAGCTGTGAGTTGATTGACTGCAAATCAATGGCAGTGAAAAGAGAGAGTATATTTAATTTTCTTATATTGAGAAGAATAAATGCTTTTATAAAAATAAAAGCCTCACTATATATAACTGTCAAGTTGTAATCTACCATTTTTCATAACTCTCCTTTTAGCTCCTGTAGGACCCTGTGGCATTGTGCTGACACCACCTGTAGGACCACCAGCAAGTTCTAGGGCTGTCCTGTTTACTGTGGGGTCACCTCCCCACAGTGCCACCACCCCTGCTTGTACCCATATTGTCTTTCGAACAAGAACAACTTCAGGTAAGGTGTTACTACATCCATTGCCTAATAGTGGCAGTGTAATGTTCTGATGATGACTTAGTCTTGTGTCTCACTTCTCACGGTTTCAGTTTTCTAAGTAAAATGGAGATAGTGCTTTTTTTCTCCAATAGAGGGTTGTAAGGAATAAATGAAACATTTATTTTTTAATTTTTTAAAATGAAAGTGCTATTTTAGATATATATTTAATTATTCACTGTTTATCCCCTAGTACAAATCTATCATCTTTCTATCGAGCTTTCACCTTTCAGTGAGTTGAGAGAGAGAGAAATAAATAAACTGGTTCCAAGAAACGAACAGGCCTTTATTGAATGTTCTGAGAGGCACGCAGAAAGGTTGGAGAGGTTCATAGGCAGAGAAAGGCAGTTTATTTTTATAGGGGCTGTTAGGGAGATTTAGAGAGAGGCGTTGTTTTCTCCAGAATTTGGTGGCAGGGGTCCAGTCAATGGGTGCCCTGGCCCAGGCCCAGGGCCTTAACAAGATCTGGTCATCTAGTCACCATATCAGGAGATAGACATTATTTGGTTTCCTCAAGAAATGGTCAGCCCTGGGGGTTGGGCCTGCAACATTCTTCCTCCGTGCCAGACCTTAATCTCTAGCTACTTCCTGCTGGATAGGCAGATGCTAGGGGAGCCAGGATTTGTTTTCTTTAAGGTCTGAAGGAGGAGCATTGTTTTCACATGTTTTTGGGTGGTCTCTGGGGAGATGGCCATGAAGCATTCTACTAAAAATTTCTGAAAGAAATTTAGAAGACAGGGAGCAAGAGTGAAAAAGGAGGAGGACAACTAGACAGGGAGCAGTGAGTTAGGATGGGAGTAGCTAGTGGGGAATTCTTGGTCTCCCTCGGTTTCTGATTTTCTATTTAGGGTGTTCTATTTAGGGTCTTTTAATTTCTTTATTCTCTAGTTACTACTAATTTGTTGTTGTTGTTGTGTGTTGTCAAGTCGCTTGCAACTTACAGCTACCTTATGTATAACAGCCCTAAACCTGGCTCTATCCTGTGCCAATCATACTGTCTCTGACACACCCACCGTCATTACCCTAGTCACTGAATCAATCCATCTCATTGATGGTCTTCCTCTCTTGTGCTGTCCTTCCACCTATGCATGACATCCCTCTCAAAGGACTCTTCCCTCCTTGCAACAATATCCAAAGTATGTCAGATGAAGCTTCGGAATCCTTGCCTCCAAGGACAAGCCTGGTTTCACCTTCTCTAGGACAAAGCTGTTTGTTCTCCTAGCAGTCCACGATATATTCAGTACCCTTCTCCAGCACCACAGCTCAAAGGAATCAACTTTGCTTCTACCATCCCTTAGTCATTGTCCAGCTTTCTGAAGCATAGCAAGTAATTGCAAATACCATGGCCTGAATCAAGCATACCTTCATCTCCAAACTGGCATTTGGAGAAGTTTCTGCCAGCAGACTTTCCCAATGCAGTTTGTCTTTTAATTTCTCACTCCTGGTACCAAGAGTGTTAATTGTGGAGCCAGCAAACTGAAGCTGTTAAGAATCTCAATCTCTTCACCATCTATCATGATACTGCCAATCAGCCCAGTAGTGAGAAACTGTTTTCTTGATGTTGAGCTTCAAATCCGCATTGAAGGTTGCCGTCCTTGCCCTTCTGCTGCAGGTGCTTCAGGTCCTCCTCAGTTTCAGCAAGCAGGGTTTGTATCCTCTGCATAACATAAAATATTGATTAGTCTTTCTCCAATGCTGATGCTACATTTCTCCTCATAGAGCCCAGCCTCCCGGATAATCTGTTCTACATATAGATTGAAAGTGTATGGAGGTAAGAAACATTCCTGGCATACACCCTTCCCAATTTTGAACCATGCAGTGTTTCCCTGCTCTGTTCTGACGACTGCTTCATGGGTCAAGTATGGGTTTCGCATAAGCACAATCAAGTGTTCTGGGATTCCCATTCTTCTCAGAGTTGGCCAGAGTTTCTTGTGATCCACACAGTCATATGTCTTTCCATAGTCAATGAAACACAGATAGACATTCTTCTGGTACTCTCAGCTTTCAGCCAAGGTCCATCTAACATTAACTATGATATCCCCAGTACCTTGTTATGTCACATTCCTTGAGAGTCTGTTTTTATTGTCGAGTCACAAGCGACTCACAGCACATAACAACAAGATAGCTGCATTCATTGAGGATTGATTTCTATTGTTATATTGCCACAGTCTTTGTCAAAACCAGTTCTGATTGATCTCCTTTGTCAGCATGTCCTTTGCCATTCCCTGTCACTCCCCCCTGAGAGAGATTTCACCCTGATTCATTAGGAGGGGGGCATCACATTTTCTTATCTACTTCCTGCTAGAAAAGGGCATTGTAGGTTCTAGAGTGAAGATCTTCTCTCACTTCTCTAAAGGGCCCCTTCAGCAATAGGAAACATGTAGACTATTGTGGCAGTTGTTTTTGGAATTTAGATGCACTGCTATCAGTTGTGCTTAAGGATACAGGTTCATATCCTTGGAGGTGCATCATTTTAGCATGGAACTGTTGCATCCTGGAAGACACAAATTACACTAACAAGTTAAAAATGCATGGGCCAGAAATTAAAAGCAATAATATTCCAGCTAGAGGTTCTAACAGTGGCAGAAACCTGGTTATAGAGGGAAGATAGTTCTTAAAAATAAAAGGCTTATAATTAGGAATGCCTAGCACAGGAGCCCAAAGAGGGCCTCTTTTTTGTACAAATGTTTAATAGTCCATTATAGGTTATATACCCCCCCCCTTTTAATTGCTCATGTAAGAGTTTGGCTAACTCTCTAAATCAAGGAATAGTCATCCTTAAAAATTACAGAAAGATAGGCAGAGTATCGTTTGAACCCAACCTGGACAGAGCTTTCTACTGTTATATGTCAAAATGAATCTCAAGAAATGAACTTCAGGGAGGCAAATTTGGACCTTTTCTTTGGACATTCTAAAACCTTCTTTACTTAAAATGTCTAAGGTGCCCTGAATATCTTGAACTGAGGCCTTCTAGGTTAGACTACGTACTAGAAGGTCATCTTTAAGATATAGTAGCATGATGTAGGTAGGATTGGTTGGTACCCTGCCTATTTATAGTACAAGGGTTAGGAACCACAGGACATAGAGGCACAAGTAGAGGCACAACTATGTCATTTGTTCTTAAGTCCTGAACCAACTTCCAATTACTATTGGAGTTTTTTACAGCAAGGATAGGGATGTTATAAGGAGAAGTAATTTCGGTAATTAGACCAGCTTCTTTTAATTAATTTTAGGGGCCAGACCTCTATAGCCTTCACAAGATATCCTATATTGGTTGTTTTGGATAACCTACTCCAGAAGAGCTATCTTAATAAGCTTTATATTTATTGCCTGGGTAGGCAACCCAGAGGTCCAAATCAATGGATGTAGATCTCTAAATTTGAAGGTAATATTTCAGGATCTTCAGGCGGAACAGAGGCTAGCCCTAATATCTTCATGGCTGGTGAAAATAAAATCTTGGTCTTTACTCTAAACATAAGGTCTCTTCTTAAGAGGGGCAAAAGAGTTACAGGAATTACCAAAAACTGATGAGAAAACAGCCAGGACATCCACATGCAAAGCAGAGGGGGAGTAAAGAACTGCTTATATGGTTTTCCGCCAGTTCCAACAACTAAGAAATAGCAGGAAGAGAGTGGACCTGAGAAGGCTTATAGGACCAAATGAGAGGCTCCTGTGTCCAGGAGAAAATGAATAGACTTCCCGCAACATCGATCATTGCTCTTCTGGGACTATTTGAATTTTTGAATTGTTGAAGCGTCCTCCTTTGTTGCCGTCTGGGAGCCAGGGCCTCATCAATCCTCTGTGGATTCAACCATGAGGACCTAATGTGGGCAGCCCTTGGTCAGATGTTCTTCAGATCCACACTGAAAGCAAGTGAGTGAGAGCTTCCTCTCTCTACTCCCTTGCCTACCTGTGGTTCTCACCTGTGACACTCTTTACTAAAGTGGCCCAGCTTTCAACAACAGAAGCAATTCTGACTCCCTTTATTACCTTTGGGTGGCATTGACCGTTTTTTATTAAGACTTCCTTTTCCTGACAAAGGCCCTAAATTGGTAGCAATAGCTGCCCCAATAATTTTGGCCATTGTCTGGTCTTTTCTCTCTCCCTCTAGATCCCGGTTGTGAAAGACAGTGACTGCATGTTTTAAAAATTCATTGGGATCACATTGAGGCCCCATTGCCACCTGATTTATAAAACGAGTATTTAGAATTATTCTGCCTTCAGGGCTTTCAGGATCTAAGTTTGTGAACTTTTTCACGGCTCCAACAAGTCTCCTAAAGGCTGCCGAATTTTCTTCTTTGTCCTGAGTAATTTCTGTTATTTTTTTTTTAGTAATTAATTGGTTTGGTCTGAATTTCTCTTATGCCTTCAAGCAAGGAAGTCTGCGTGTAGTCCTGAGCAGCTTGTCCCCTGATTTCCTGGTCGGCCTGGCTGGTAATTCCAGTCAGGATTTTGGCCGGGGATTGCAGTTGCTTCATCTACTAGTTGAGGGTTATTGATATGAAACCTGTCTGCTCTATGCCTTGCTGTTGCCAATATTTGATTTTTCATCAGGAGACAACAGAAGGATAAGAACCATTAGGTTCTTCATGTCATATCAAAGACAGAAATAATTTTCTGGAACTCATCAATAAGTTTTCTTGATTCAGTGGAAAAAGATCCTCACTTTTCCTTGCAGTTTTGCAAATCACTCATGGAGAAGGGAACGTGCACTTGCAGAGTTTGCCCATTATTCCATTCCACTTCCTGAAGAGGAAGCAAGGAAGGATGGTGGGGGGAGAGGGCCAAGGAGCATTATACGGTGATAGTGTCACCTCAATTGAGAGAGTATCTTCATTTAAAGATGTCTTTTTGCCCAGAGTTGGATTTCAAGCTCTCCAGATGGGGGTCTGCTGCGGGGTAGTATCTCTCATGGGTAGACTGGGATTAGGGTTTACCTCAAGTCCATATTTTGTGCATAAATA